AAGGATATCTTTAACTCAATTTTATGGTCATTTAGTTTATACAATCAATTGAATTTATGTGGTTCCATTCATTAGCTAAAGGGCCTATTTACATAATTATGTAACCTTTCACTGAGTAGGAAACTCTTCTTAATCGAGCCATTGAGTCATAGCGGCCATAGCGTACGCTTTGTTGAGCATCAGCCAAAATTCAGTTATTTGTGTCTCTGCTAGACACAATTGATCTTCGTACCTTTAACTAAAGTTTGATCTATTAAAAACCACTTCAAAAATTTAAACTTATGAAGTTTACAGCCTTACTCTCTGGCCGTTGATTGTTTGTTTTGTAAGGTTTCCCTCTGTATTCTACTTTCAATGGAAGTTGGAACGTAATCGATCTGCAAAATATTATTAAAAATCAATCAACATTCTAATTATTGTCAATTATAAATTATTATAAAAATAAATTACCGTAAAAGGACCAGACTGGGGGATGTAGGCCTATGGTGGACTTTAGCATGCTCTGAAAACTTTCTACATAATTATTGGTAAGGATGTTTACACTATAAACAGTAAAACTAGATAAACATACTGTTGTTAACCAGTATTGTCGAACATAGTCCACTAACTGAACAATTCTGTAACGTAAAATTCCTTGCAAACAAATTGTACATTTGAGAATATAATTTCATTATTTAATTCCACATTGATACTCTTTCCCAATGGTTCACTAAATTGAAAATTAAAGTCAACGAATCGAAGTCTTCCTTCGTCACATTTGCTCTCAGGCCCCATAACTGCCCTCCTATATCAATGAATAACACTATTATTACTCACTCAAACGAAGCCAACTGGATGCATCAATAGTTTTTAATGAGCTGAAATATGCAGTCCTGATAAAAATCAAGTCGGAAAGTCGTGATTTTACCGCAGGCATTGTAGTGCATATGACTTCAGCTGGTGATACACCCGTCATCGCGGATTTGGACTAAAACGAATACGCCGTTGCACCTGGCCAAGATGTCATCATCAACGACAATACGACATCTACATAATAATAATATATTCACATGTCATGCCCCGTCTTCTGCCTTGACAAAGTGTGCGTCCAAATGTCAGCCATGTCACTATGTCACCACTCGCCACAGCCGTTTTTTTATAGCATTACGAATTATTTTATTAATTACGCTGACGGTGTATAGCAACATGTATTATAGCGAAATATTATACGAACTTTAGCCATGGTCGTACCCGTATGGTACGTGTGTAGTGTGTACTGTGTACTAAATGTACTGCGTACGGAGACAACATAATAGGGCTGGTGGGACCTATTCATAATTAAAAGCTATAAATATAATGTAAAATATAAACATTGATATTGACTGATAACTGATTCTGCTATAAATAAATGAATATGGTTATAGCACCACGGTAAATCTTCTTCGTTATCTTCTATACCGTGAATATAATTAGAAAATAATATTATTTTTGTGCACACAGTCATACAGAGTACAGACATTGCCAATTGGTCATAAGCGCACAATCAGTTATACAATATACGCTATTATAATATTGCATGTATTATAGCCCCCCTACGCTGTTTTACACTATTGTAATATTTATTACTAGGGTTCGTATCATTCGTATCCTGTTCGCTGTTGTCAGCTTGACGTTCCTACAGATTGTTAATAATTGTATTGCATCAACCGTATACTCTTGTTTTCATTGTTTAAATTGTTTTAAATTGTAATA